GGGTAGGGTAGGGTAGGGTACGATATGGTATGGTACGGTACGGTACGGTATGGTACAGGTCTCATGGACCCTGAAAGGTGCCTGCAAAAACAAATATCAAACAACCTCGTGAGTCAACGATTTGGCTTTGGATGGAGAAGGCTGAGCCTTTAATCAGCTTCAGGAGGGGTCTCATTTCATAATGAAATAATTTAAATGGCACCCTTTTTGTTTTTGCAAAATGGGTTAAAGTTCAGTGTAAGGGTAACACTAGGAAATGGGGTTTATCATTTTTGTTATCCAGAAAAGAACTATGCCACCAATCCCTTGTCTTTCCCATTCTCTTTATTTTTTTTAGCTACAGTATACACAATTTATATAAAACTATTTGAAACTTTCTGTAAAAATGCACATGAATGATACCGAGTGCATGGGCTTCAAATGCAACAGGTCTTGCTAATCTTTTCCAAGCAGCAGTATTGTTAAAGAACAGGGGTGCTGATGACTTTATCGAGAGTACAGAGTGAGAAGTGTCAGCAGCATGGTGTCCCTGTCACCTAATCATCTGCAAGCTGTCATTTTATCAGTCAGCAGAAGGAGAGCAAATCGACAGCAGCCACACTAGTCTTTATTTCCCGTCACATTGACGAGGCAGAGACAGCTTCATGGCGCAGGGATGTTTATGAAGCATCTCAACCCATTTCTCAAGCCTGTATTTACTCTGTGCCTCTGCTCCCATTACAGCTGCTCTGCTGCCATCCTGTCAAATCTCAAGAAGTGATTAAGCATTTTTTGAACAGCTTATTGGTRCTCTGGAATGTTTACTCCTCCAGCTTGCTTCTGATGGGAAAGGAGACAATGATAAAACTCCAAAATGGGTGAGATTTAAATACCTAGACCACCCCAAGTTACAATCTGAACGTGACCAAGCAACAGTTCAWGAATGACGGTTAATGAAGATGTTTATTTTAGCTACGCTTTTTTAGCATCAAGGTGACACAAAAATACAAAATTTTAATACATAAATAATTATGTTTTTCTATTTTTTATTAAACAGCACATTCTATTTAATATGGAAATAACTTTAATTGACTTGTTTCGAGCGGGTCGGTCCATGCTTGAAAAACATGCATCTAGACCAGGGTGGGCAATGCTGGTCCTCAAGTCCCACTATCCTGCATATTTTACTTGTTTCCCTGCTCCAACACACCTGATTCAGTGAATAAATTACTTTTTTTAGTTGTACAAAAGCCTGCACCCATTCATTCAAATCAGCTGTGATGGAGCAGAGACACTTGAAGCTCAGTGTTATTTGTCCATATTTTGCATTTAAAAAATCTAGAATTTGTCCACCAAGTGATTTCTAAAAACAATCATATAACTATGGCTGAACAATAGTATCAATAACTGGTTTGGATGGGAAACAACACTGAGGCCTGATGGTTTTACATGTTGTAATGATCATCTTTGTGAATGCCTACTCAGCAGAGTGTATTCAAAATAAAAAAAATATATAGACACACATTTCTTTTTGTCTTTAAAATCAAAACTCAGTAGAAAACACAGACTAGAAGAATCAGAGACTAATGTACCGACACACACATCAAGGTAAAAGCTTTATGGGGCTGAAAATGGCCTAAGCAAYGATCAAACACCAGTACTACTGACTCTGCGATTACGAGAAGCAAGCATCTGCCTGACATGATAACCACTGGTTTCAGTGCCAGCAGATCTCCGTTCTCCAGTGTCCTTCTTCAGCTCAACACACGCCCACATAGGCAAGCCTTGTTGAAACAGCCCCATTAATGAGACTCACTGCCAGGSTGAGCGACTTCAAAAGAGCAAATCGGCAACAGGCTTTAGGCATCCAAAAGAATCTGGCAAGCTTTAGGAGTTCTTCATATATTAGTCATGTCCCTAAGACTTCAGAAGCTTGGTGGAGAAAAAAAAAAGGTTTAAAGTCATTCTCACAAATTTGAACACAGACTAGAGTATTTCAAAGGTGCAAACTCWCTTTGTTTGATTTAGTAGGAACAGTTATATGGAGATACTAGGTGTTAATGAAGTGGATATCAGCCTTGTTTAGAAGTTGTGAAGTGTTGTGGTAAATATCATAACCACATACTGAAAATCACWTAAGTTGGTATTTTGAAACAGGACCTTTCATGTGTTGCTTATTAAGCCTTTACATATGAGTTTAATTATATCTCTTGTCCAATTACTTAGTAATTGTGATTCATGTCAAGGAGAAATATTAAAATAAAATTGAAGGACAGAAGCGAAGATTTCTACTGACATTTGAAGAAAAGAAAATTGTGGGTTTGACGTGAAACTGAGTGAGTGAACCAGTAATTACATGTAGGTGTCGTGGAAAGATATAACAAAGCAAAAAAAAACTGTTTTATACTTAATTGTGAAAATAAAGATGTTTGATTAAAAACAGCTGACACATAATGAAAACCTTAGAAGATATTTAACCCTAACCCTAATTAAAATTTCAAACTGCACTTTATCAAAACAGTAGTTAGACATTTTGATATGAGACGAGGG